TGCTTGGCAGTAAATCCACAGGCTGATTTCAGATGGCAGCTGAGCCAATCAGAGCCTCCCCAAAGCCTGGACCACAGGAAGAGGCAGGAGAAGGGGAGCTGAGCCAAGCAGATGCTGGAGGAGAAGCCCAGAGCAGGAGGTGGTATCAGAGACGTGAAGGACTGTGATGAGCAGAAGTGGTAAGGGCCCATGTGTGCCTAGCAGGTGGCAGCTCTGGGGCAGAGATATGAAGTGGGGACACAACAGAGTCATCCTGGGGTTGCTTTGTAAGTGACTTGTTAAGTGTTTTGAACACTTTGAAGAAACAATATGTGGTGGTGGTGGTGATGGATATCTTAGGTCAGAACTGACTCTAGCTGACCCTCCGGCAGGTTTTCAGAGGTAGTTAATCACATGGGAGGAGATTGTCCCTCCTTCTGTGGAGCAGCTGGTGGATTTAAACTGCGTACCTTCGAGATTGAAGTGCAGCTTCTCGCCACTAGGCCACCAGCCTCCACAGTTCCCCTAAAAATGAAATAAATTGGACTAAGTTGGACATGTATCTATAGGCTCCACCAAAGGCACAGCAGGTGCAAAGGCCCTGGGGCAGGAACTGAAAAGTGATCTGACCTTGGACAGTGGAGGTGGTCGTGAAGGAGGGATGGCCTGTCACGTGGTCCAGTTCTGTGGAAAGGACATGGAGGTTAAAGCATAGGAGAGATGTGTTGTTATTGTTAGTTGCTATGTGGTCAATGCCACCCCTTGGCCGCCCCAAGTGTGCAGAGCGAACTGTGCTCCGTAGGCTGTGTGTCCAAAGGCTGTGACCTTTCAGAGACAGATCACCACACCCCTCTTCCAATGAGCCTCTGGAAGAGAACCACCAACCTTTATACTACTAGCTGATCACGTAACCACCGCACACCCAGAGGCCCCAGGGGAGATGAACACCTTACGTTCTTAAGCTTCAGGGCTGCTGGAAGAGGAGCAGAGGGCAAGAGAGAAGGGTGAACCCAGAGGCAGCTGGGAACTGCCAGAGGGATCTGGGGAGTGAGTGACAATGGCAGCTTAGAGAGGGCGAGGGGGTCAGGGGCTTGGTTTGTAGGGTGTTATGGGATAGATCTGGAATGTCCTGTGGAGAGATGAGAATTGGGAAGTAAGAAGAAAGGAGGTATTGTATGGGCCTAGAGCTTGGAGTCCCACAAAGGCTAGAGAAAGACAGAAAGAGTAAAACAAAAACGAGTTTTAAGGGAAGAATCAGAAGTTCCATGTGTCACGTGGGTTTGGGGATGACAGGAGGTGGGGAGAGGAGATAAAGGGCGCTACAGGTGCAGCCTTGGAAGACAGAACATAAAGAGGAGTTGAATCCACAGAATTGGGGGTGGGTTGAAGGGAGGGGTGAGGCAGCAGGAGGCAGATGTGAGGGTAAACCTCATGGACTCCAGGAGAGGGTGGTTCTGGGGCCTGGAGGAGACTGGACTAGGTGCTGACTACCTGGCACACCAGCAGACACGGGCAGTTTCCTTTCATAGGGGCTGTTAAGGAGACCGAAAGGGGTTGGTAGTTTTTGAGAGAAGTTGGGGCCAAGGGCCCTGTCAGGATGCAATCAGGCCCAGGGCCTTATCAAGATGTGGTCAGGCCTGGTACCGTTTGAGGTGGGCAGGGACCTGTGACATTCTTCTTCCATAACCTATTGTTATAGTTATTGTGTCAACCCATCGTGTTGAGTGTCTTCCTCACAATTACTGAACCTCCACTTTTTCAAGCAAGATGTGCTTCTCCAAGGACTACTGAGATGACGTTTCACCATATTTGGCTAAAAGAAGCATTCTGATTGCACTTTCTCCAAGACAGATTAATTGTCCTTTTGGCAGCCATGCGCTATTCAGTACATCTGGGCTGGTTCGTTGTTGTTGTGTTAGGTGCCACTGAGTCCAGTACAACTAACAGGGACCTTATGAACAGCAGACGTGAACCCTGTCCTGTCCTGTGCCATTCTCACAATCGCTGACACACTTGAGCTCATTGCTGCAATCACAGTGTCAACCCACTTGGTTGAGGGTCTTCTTCTGCTTCACCATCTCTCCACCTTCCCAAGCACAACGTCACTTTCAAAGGAGAAGCTTCTCTAAGCAACATGGCTAAAGTACGTGAGACAAAGCTTTATCATCTCTGCCTCCAAGGAGCACTCTGGCTACACCTTCTTTAAGACAGAGCTGTCACACCCATGTTTATCGCAGCTTTGTTTACAATACCAAGGACTTGGAAGCAACCTAAGGGCCCATCAACAAACGAATGGATAGAGAAGCTGTTGTATATCCACAAAATGGAATACTATGCTGCATTGAAAAACAAGGAACTCATGCAATATTATTCAAAATGGGTGACCCTGGAGGACATTATGCTGAGTGAAATA